AGTCCTGTTACCGCATACTGTACTGGAGTGTGATTTTGGTTGGTATGGTGAATCTGCCAGATTGAAGGTGCAAGTACACTTATTATGCAACCGTAGTTTGTTCCGTATCACGATGAAAACTACTTGATCAAGGCAGCGTTTCTATGGGCACTGAGGACGAGTAGGTTCAGTCTGTACTTGTTTTTCCTGATGCCATTCCGGCTTGAGACGATCCAATGCAAGTGTTGTGTGTCTTCGCTGATGCAGATAAACGATTCACTTTCGTTCTCATCGACTTTTGTAAAAGTCAGACCCTCCCAATCTTCTGGGACAGGATTAAAATCATGCTAAAACCACAGGAGTGTGACACTTGTCCAACTTCAGATCCGTTCTTTCATCATTACGACAAATATCAGGAGGAAGATCCTTCTCTTTATGGCACAAAAGTACTCGAGCTCCAATGACTGAAAGTCTCACGTTAAAGGATGAAGATGCATTTGCTTTAGATTTCTTCTTTAGATGCATGAATCTCATACCAGAGTGGATGATGTATCACTCTAGCTCAAGTGTACAAGTAATAAAGTAAACTCCAAACGCTCCAGCTGTCAAAAAATCCTCTTAGATTTCCACTAGCTTGGTAACGTTGCAGTTCTCCAATAGTGCCAAAGGCGGAGAATATTTCTCCTGAAACCAGGTGTCATTGTAAAATGTTCTTTTGTTTGTGTGCGGTTTTAACCAGACATTTCGTATCTGTTAGATGCACTTGTATTAAAAATATATACATTTTTTTCATTTGGATGCTATTGGTGCCGTGTCATACGTTTGGTTTCACTATCTAGGTCCTGATTGAGATTTCTCATCCTTTTTTCAGTTATTTTTTCAGAAATACTTGGTCATTCTTTTCAGGTTTGTTTTCAACCGCGATGCATGTATGTTAAGTTTTTTATGACCTGCTACTTTCCAGTGAATATTCAGAATCTTAGAATTAGTTAGAATCTTCCCACATTCTCAGCAGAATCAGTGAGGAGAGAATGAGTATCAGTGTATTTGAGATGGATTCTGGTTTCTGCATAAACTGCGAACCAGTCGTTGAGACAGTAATTAAGTAATGTTCGGTCCTTTTATAGAAAGAGACAGAGGTGCTTACTGCAAAGACCAAAGTTGCATGAGATGTGCCCTTGGTCTTGGGAATCCAATCTAAATGTGATAGTTCCGTCAACTTGGCAAGCTCAAGCGGGCACATGCTTCGTCTTTTCCTTCATGGACTTGTATTAATAGTGCGCACAAAGATTGCATCCCTCAACTTTAGGCACAATTATCTCCTTTACGATTTGGTAATTAAGGGCCGACATTGCTCCAAATCGGTGAGTCTAATGGGTGGGTGCGTTGCACGAATTCATTGAAGGATGATACACAATCCTTTGACGGATCTAGAAGAATGCCAATTGCCCAATAATAGTGGTTGGTGTAGGTAATACGCTTTGAGGGTATAGGGATGGTCACCTTAGGTACAAATAACCATCAATGCTTAAGCTTTGCCAATTTCTTGGTCAATTTGATGTTGGTCAAGTTCATGATGTTGGTATGCTCAACTTCACTTGCTTTCGCTTCCCGCAGTTTTCTCCCATGTCAAGCCTGAGAAAAGCTAAATCTTGTGGAGACGGTCAAAATGTCATTTGCCTTTCTTTTCTCATGTTGTCACCCGGATCACGCTCATGGCCAAGCCGAAGTATATATTTCTCTACAGGGTTTAGATTCTTATATCGCATGCAGTCAGAAACAGTTGGGAGGATTTCTCAGTTGTACATGTATTTAGGTATTGGGAAGAGTATATCCATTTCAGAGCTTGTATAGTTTAAAAGTGTCCAAGATCCAATCAACTTGAAACTTGATCGGTGTAACAATTTATGTGCAAGGTTCAAGTTCGATGTATCGAACATCATACTTCAACATGTCACTGCTGTCAATGACATGCACATCGGATTCTCATGCCACAAAGCGGGGCCGAGTAATAAAGCGAAGACCCATCAAGTCATTCAGGGGTAACATGGCGCGAGGCACCAATAGCATTATTGTGACCTCTTGACATGAACATAGATGGAATACTCTGAAATCAGTCGAACTAGTGGAGAAACCCAAGCATGCAAGATAAGACACCACTAGATACCACACCATGTGGGTGTGAATTTTCTTGATAAAAGTTCCTAGTATTGATCCATTTAGTAAGTCAGCAGCTTAGTTCAGTTAGAATGATTTGGCCATGCAGTTATCGTTAATTCTCCAGTGAATCTCCACCCTTGCTGGGCAGGACTTAGTTTAGTACTCGTACATGTGCTAGCAGCTGTCCTCGAGTTCTGTCAACAGAGGCCAAATCACTGGATTTAGATGGCCAAGTTGCTAAATGAGGGAACTGAAATCTCACTGAAGACACTGAGGAGTTGGATGAACATATGATACCGGTTCACTCATATGATCCCAGTACTATAAACATGTGACATATTTACAAATAGACATATCTATCTGCACTCTACTAGCAACACTTTCTAGATGAAGAATTTCAACGAATTTGGAAAGTCACGTCCGGATTGGGAAGGTCTCAAGTATGTTTGTCTGGGACGCAGACCAAGACATGTGACCAGGCTCAGACTGTGCATCTTGCAAATTTCTAGCTCTTGTTGGTGAGCGGTGTTGGATTCCAATTAGAGTATGTTAGCATTGACGGGTTGAAAGAAAGGGGAAGGCAATATTTGTCTCCGTTATGCTCAATCACGTGGGCAAGTGCTCCTTCCAGTGGCTCCCACCAGTCACGAGCAAATTTGTGCATGACCCTTCACTTTCCCCGCACATGCAGCCGGAGCCAACATGAAATTATTCCTCACTTGCCCTCTTACCAACACGATAAAACATAGATCGCGACCTCGTAATCGTCCTTTCAATGTTCCCAGCCACTGATGAACAAGATCCTGTTTATTGCTTCAGAGGAGTCGCAAGACGCCCAAAGAAGATTCACCTGCACCAAAAAAAACCAATCATTTAACTTTAACTGCTCTTTTAAAAACTAATTCCGGAACTGCTAATGAGCACATATTTCGTGCATCTATGAGTAAATATCATAACATGTGGATGAAAACGTAGAAAATCTTATCCATTCTTGGTGAGATGAACTCATCGTTCTAGCAAAAGAGCAAGAGAATAAAAAAAATAGAGCTTATTCCTCCGGGTCTCGGGTTTACCCCTGGACCGACCGACGTGAGCCTTACTGGTCGAAAATTATATACTTATTCTTGCAATCCAAATTTTCCAGACAACAAACTTTCATGCATTGGCGCATGTTTTGCGAGAAGAGAAAAGGCCCGCCACTTTTCACCCGTTGTATGCAGTACTTCACTGGTCAGAACCTCGTTTCCCTGGCGGAGGCGGGTTTAAAATCCGTCACATGATCGCAGTGCTGTTACTCGAGTGCTGTTATGCCATCGACGTTTCCTCTGGAGCTCGCCTCCAGAGAACAGTGTTGTACGACCGGATATCCTCTCCAGATCCGGATAAACTCCGCAGGTTTAACTGCTGGTCGTCGCAAATAGTATGCTGAGAAAAGAACCGTGCTCCCGCAGATCTTGACCCAATCTATCCTTGCAGCCCTTGGATGGCATCGACGGCTCTCGGGCTCTCGGGATCGGGTTGGGTAGCTTTAGTCGCAGGCCGTCGATGGGACCGATGCTTCTAGACTTTTACCGTCGATGTGTCACTTCCAGTTCGAGCCAGCCTTCGATCTTGAGAATGTGGAATCTGGAGAAGAGATTCTGCGGCGAGGGATAGAAAAATGTGGTTTTGGCTGGTAGGTGGACGTCAGCAGCTAGCCATCGATCGGTCCCGTGACCATCACACGAAGGGATGGGTCACGGGACTGATGCGCACGTGGGACTTGCCAGGTGCTGCCCTGACTTATTGGAGGTGTCGGCTGACACGGATGTCGAGGGGTACACCTTTTAGTTAGAAGAATATCTCGGGTACTGGCGGGTACCGTACTTACCGTATGAAAAGGATACGGTACTACGGTCGGTGTTCGGGTTGCGAGATCAAGTCTTCGAAACTGTGGAGTTCGTCCGATCTGGCATCCGAAGGTCTGTATTGGGTGAGGAGAGTTCTGGGGTATAGTAACCGCGTAAAGGAAGTCTCATCGTTTTTGTACGCAGTCCCTTAGCAGGGAAGAAAGTTGCCCCGTCACGCTGGAGCGCAGAGATCATGGTGCAAAGACTTTGACGTGGCCAGCACGTAGTTTTTGTGTAACTCGAGCACTTACGTCGCAACTTCTACCGCTGCTAAGTAATTCAGAGCGGCATTTCCACGTCTGCGAAGAAAAACATTGTGGCCGTCGATGAACGGCCGACGATCGACAAATCTTCAGCCTCATCCACGGCTACAACGATTAATGAGAAGTGGTGCAATTTCCTACATTAGAAAACTGTACACGCTTGCGTGCTTGCCTTTCGGCAGGCCAACTTAGAGTTGTACCAGAGCCGTGACAGATTACGGGATGCGGTGTATTCGGGTTGAAAGCTTGACATATCACTAGGTACAGCTCCATTGAAGTCTCATTACCTGCAAAAGTGTGTATCCACTACTCATCCCACAGAAATGGCATACGGTCGGGGTTGTTCTAGCCTGCGGTACAGAAAGAGCCACAATGGAACGTTTCCTTCTTCGAGACTGGAAGTTTTCCAATGTTGGGCACAGAGTTTTCCTCTGGCAAACTACGGTAGTCCTAACGCAGTAGGTACATGCACAAATCAGACCACATATGTTGGTCGCTCACGCTAAAGAAGGATGTACTGCCTTGTATTGATCGATCGCAGCCCTCTTCTTACTCCACTCCTTCACGAAGGAAGGTCAAGTTATAGTGTCGGTGAACGAGTCTTCACTCGGAAACTACTCTTGGACTCCAATTGGCCACGAGGAGACGACCGAAATTCAGATTGCAAGTTCATTCAAAACAAGCCGGTGGCTGAAACCACGTAGAAGGTAAAAGTAAACGTAATACACAAAACTTGCTTATTGACTTGATATAGTGTACATTGACAGTCTTCACTGCACTTCCTCATCACTCGGTTCATGATATAGCTCTTCCACCGTCTCGACATACTCCTTATAGGTGGCAAGCGGCTCACTGAAACTAACTCTCCTCCCTGTAGCTCTTTTCTCCTTTCTTTTTGTAAGTTGATCTTCTGTAACATTATAGGTATAAACTTTCGAGATAGCTCGCACTTTCTCTTCCACAGACTTGAATGGGGGGGCGACCATCTGCTGCTGCAGTGTCGGCCCCCGCTTCAACGAAAGCTCGTGACAAGCGTCCCGTATATCCTCCACAACCTTCTCTTCATCTTCTTCATCCTCCAGATGAGGAAGATTCACCGGTATCGAAGGCCGCACAAGTTGCTTCCTTTGCATCCTTGCCAGTCGGACCTTCCGACATTGTTCCCTCACAGCCTCCATTTCATCATCGATGTTCTCGAACTCCATGATTTTCATGGAGCTGACCCTTACTGGTACAAGCTTTGAATCAAACAGCTCTGGACAGATCGACCCCGCCGCTCACGCTTCAACCAGGTCGTCTGTGACAGTGCTGTGATTATGACAACACTACCCTTGAAATCGGTCTCGGTCTGTCTGAATCTCCTACACCTACAGTAAATTCTGGTCTAGGCACCTTGAAGAACGAACCTTGAAGCAGAAAAAAGAGCAGTATTCGGAACGTGTATCGCCTAAGCCTAATTTACTTCTACGCTTCTGTATCTGTGAAAAAGTGAGCCACTAAGAAAAATCGGTCGAAGACGAAAATCCTGGATTGCAAATATCAGTCAGGTCCTGCGTTCTTCCCCGAATCTACCCTAATCACCTGGAAGTTTCTCTACAATTGGAAATCTGTCAAACACAAGGACACTATCGTGCACCTTCCCGTGCTTTGGAAAGCGAGTGCCTGATGAAGTCTTATACTGTGAACAAGTAATGGCGAGTTACTCGATCCTGATCTTGGTTGGTATCCGCTTGTAAATTCCCACAGGTTCGAAGTAAAGTCATGCCAATATGAACAAAGCACCTTCGGAACTCATGCACGTTCGTGCCCAACGCCTATCCGCTGCAATAGCTCCACCTGAATAAATAACAAAAACCCAACCGCCATCGAATCAGTCCAGATCATTCCAACCTTCTGAACATGTTCGAACAAAGCTGACGTCCTAGATCGCCCCACAATTGAAAGCTATCAAAGACATGAAATCTGTCAGATTGGTACGATACTTCGTTATTGATAGAACTAAACTAGAGCTCAGATATACTAAGATAAAGTTGACACCAGAGCGGGTACAAAGATCTCGATTTAGCGATCCTGAATCTTGTTTCCAAGGATTCCCATGGGTGTTTCACTCCCTGGATTTTCAAGGTTCAGTGGGACCAGAACAACTTCCTGCTGTACAGGGCTTCTCGCACATAGAACCGAATCGGCACGCCGACAATGGCAGTCAATTCTTTCAGGAGAGCAAAATTCATGCATGACAATCATTCTACATAAATTTATGCGAAGAAAATGTGGCAGGCGTCCAAAATTCTCATACTAGATGCAATCCTGGATGTCCCAAAACTCTCAGAAGTCCGGCAACCGACAATGGGATTCTTGAGCGGACGAGAAGACTACAGTATCCTCATTGGATCGTTCGACTTGGGTTGGAAAGAGTGGGTCTACAGTCAAGTGACAAGCCAAAGCTCAGATCTGGAAAGAAAGAGGAGGATAGACGGCGTACAAAAGAGATGAGTACCTGAATACGCTCGGTGTGAAAGACCTTGGAATCAGGTCAGTCTTGCTTGGAGTGGCCGAAGGCCTGCAGTCGAAATTGTGCGCTTAACAAACTCGTCCGTCTCCCGTCCGCTTTGCAGAGGGCTCAGCGGAGCCTACTCGCGCCTCCTAATGAAAATTCAGCCAGAAGTCCCCATCCTGGACTCGGAAGAGTGTCTCTTCACATGCAGTTTGGGCGTCCAGAGAAGCTGCAATCGATAAGTCGGTTCTTTGTACCCGGAACTAGCACAACAGCATTGCAGACTAGCAGCCTAGCGCTGCTCGTCGAATCGGACATATGGTACGTCATGAGAAAGGTTGTATGAGACGACATGATCCGGCCTGAGCTGGGGCGCATCGATACCGATGCACATTCCCGCACTCGACCCAATTGCTCAAGGCTTTTAGTCCAGAAGGCTTCGAGCCCAACCAAAAAACAGAACCCACCCACCCGCTCACCACAATCGAAATCTTCCCAATCTATGCGTGGAGGTCGCTTCCTCTCCGTCTACGAAGTCATGCGTCTGTCTCTCGCGCCAAGATGAGAGTTACTGCCTACCACTGCACGCGTGCGTGTCTCGCCCGATGCCCCAGAAGCAGCCAACGACGCATACAAGAGAGCCTCGAGTAAGAGGAATGGGCTCTGCCCAGGATCCTTAAGACAGCGGACGAGCCAGAGCGAGCGAGGGAGAGGGAGAGGGAGTGAGAGAGAGGCCGAGGGCGAGTGAGTTGAAGACTGGGAGCGGTCGGGGCGGCCTGGCGCTCTATGAGCGAGCGAGCGAGGCAGGGCGGAAGGAAGGAAGGAAGGACGACGTGAACCAACGCAGGACGGACGGAGAGTGGTGCAGCTCCGCCCTTGGACTGAAGCCGGTGTACCACGCATCCTTTCGGGGATATGCTGCCTAATTGAAGATAGAAGATGCCAAAACTGGGCAAAAATAGCTCGCGCTTGGAGGTTCCTCCCGCTTAGCTGAGAACTCATCGCGGCTCCTTCCTGCGGCAGGCGCGCCACAGTGCCACGATCGATCGCCTCCGTGATTCACACGCGGCACATCCCACACGGCTCTGCGACGCACGGGTGCCGCAAACGTACTTTCCTTTCGCCCCACACCATTACGTCTCGGACGCATTTCTTCCCCCGCCCTCCATCATTCTCCTTTCCGAGACTGATTTTCGGGCAAAAGTATAATGCTGACAGATATATGACAGTTTGGTCCTTCCGGGACATCAACATCAATGATTACGTTCGATCGAAGTGGACCATTATTATCGGGCACAAAATCAAAGCTAAAAGATGACGGAAGCAATTTGCGTTATTTTACATCGAGGTCGACTATTTAACTGTATTTATCAATTTCACATTTTTTTATTGGTTTTGAACTCTTCAAAAGTGAATTGAATTGAATTTCCCTTTCAGGACCATCGGGATTCAATTACTTTCTCCGCGAGATGATTCTAACGGTTTTCTAGAAAGGTCTTTTCTTTACCTCGCGACCGGTTTACCTCACGATCCGTTGGTTAGTCACAGTTTGGAGTGGATTTATGTCACGGGCTACGGATGCGTTCTGCGGCAGGGAACGGTTTCGGGAGACCGGACCGAAGGGCTCGGAAGGTTGCCGGCTGCGGCCTTGCGGCTGCGATTTGTAGCCATGTGAGGGCGGCACGGGTAACGATCGCAGCAGGTCAGAGCAGCTGCAACCTGTCGCCGGAGCAAAAGGTGCCCTCGGGCTCTCGGGGAGAGCGTCATGAGCACAGGTTAAGATTTTGTCGCCGGGGCTACAGAGAATCCAAACTCCCGAGGGATACTCGAGGAAGGCGACAAAGCGCGAGCATGGGTGTCGTGACCGGGTTCGGAGAAGGCCCTAGACACAGTAGAAACAGTGCTCGGGACTCCGGAGGTCGGACCCTCCCGCGATCTGCCTCCCTCGCTCTATGCGCGCAGCCGGGCATCGATCCGTCCGTCCGTCCGTCCATCTATCCATCCATCATCCATCGCCATGCTGGGCCACGACCTCGATTGGCTACGCAGTCAAAGCGCAACGCAACGCGGTACGACGAGTGACTTCAGAATGGCTCCGGCGGATGACGGTACGGCCTTGCAAGCTGGAGTTCCGGAGGCCCGCTTCGTCGCGCATCGGTTGGAGGGCCTGGGGCGACGAGACCGTTCGTCAGCACCCCCGGGTCTCGAACAGGGGGGATCCATTTTCAACGCAATGTTGTCCTGAATCTGACTCCACCTCTTATCCATAACGGCCACCCCCTCCCCCCGTTGCCTGCCTTCTTCACCGTCCAGTTTGGACGCGAGACAAATTTAATGTAAATATTCGAGTCCTTGTCGAGGGGATGATTACTTGCAGGGCAAAAGCAGGTGCCGTCTGGCTGAGTCGTTTGCGAGCTAGCCCTCACCAACTTGGCACTTTTCTGTAGCTCTTTTCGCTTGCTTTAGCTCCTGCCTTCTCATGCTTGCTTCGCCGTTCGTAGTAGGTGATGGATGATGGCCCCTTACATCATCCAGTTAGTGACTTTTGCAAGGAACATCTCGGATCCTCGCGGAAGCTTTCTTGGATAAAATCCAGTTCGCAGGAGCACGCCATTCGGAGTAGGCCACGACTGAAGAGAACATCTGCAAGTAAAGTTGGGTCGACCCTCTGCATATTCCCGGCTCCAGTCCGTTTGCTGCCAGGTCTTTTATGAATCACGCTACAGTAGTATTTGTCACTTCGAATGTCCTGAGTCTTCAGAGCAACTTTTCTCCCTTTCTGCACTTTGCTGCGTTTGGGTTCTCACCCGCTCTATTTGAAGATAACAACTTCTCCATGTTCAGCCAAATATGAACATGAAGCATCAAATATCATGCAACATTTATTGAGAATGTCAATGGATGGGACTGGCTGTGTGCATGACTACTCAACATCCTGTTGCTTTTTTGTGTCATCTACGAAACTCGTAGCCTCCGGTTTAAGCAACTTGGATCAGTTGGATGCTTGAGAATGGTTGTCATGCAACCTCGGGAAGTTGTTATCTGTCTTAATTAATCAGATTGAATCTGACATCCTCTCATCAATTCAGCATGTAGAGAGAGAGCTTCATCTATTCCTAGATTTCCAACATCGCTGTACGTCCTTGTCCGGAATGTGAAACGGATCAGAAGGCCTCGACTCTTTACGTTTCCCAAAGACCTCTCAGTTCACAGTCGGCCAAGATCTTCGACGAATGTGGCAATGGAAGACTCAGAAGTAATCTGACCTCTTAAACTTGACCGTCACACATCTACAATGATGTCTTTTCACGCAGCTCTATCTCTTCAATCTGTCAAAAGACGTCCTAAACGTTCACTTCCTGGCTGAAGCATGAAGATAGGTCAGATCAGGCGGCTGAAGCGTCCAATACCCCGGAGGAGAAAATACCAGAGGCCAATTGTGTATACCGGTCACCAGGACCATATTTGCAGCAACCCGATTTAGAGAAAGGTCGACCCGTTTCATCTTTCTCCCGGTATGAAAAGCCGTCTATCCACTTTGAAGGGGGGGAATTTTCTATTTACCTCAGGGTGATTACCAGTGTATATATCTTAGAGGGAAGATATCACTTCACCCTGTAGCGAGATAGGATGGAGCTTACTGTTAGGAGACTAGTTCTCGGCGATTCTGATACTACTTGCCCCTTGGACCTTCGAGAGATTACAAGAGTTCAGCGTACGCGCAAACTCGTCGATCGTATGTCTTTTATTTTCTGCTGTAAGAGCACTTTTTGAGTATTTTGTCGTCCATAGAAGTTCTGATTGGTGAGGCCAGTACTGCGGGGTCCATTGCAAAAATGCGCCTGGTCTATCGTATCTACATATCCTTCGACATCTGCAAACTAATCGGCTTTCTGCGGTCTGCTCCGGCTCCGCATGCTCAAAAGCAGAGGAAGTACAGAGTGCGAGTCTGCGTTGCTCGGCGCTCGGCGCTCGGCGCTCGGTAATGGAATTCATGTGGGAAAGGACCAAGAAAAGCTGGCGATCAGCAGGTCGTTGAATTCATATCTGAATATGTGATCGTTTGTTGTTCTCGGGCTGAGTTCTAAATCGACTCAGTTGCGAATGTTGTAGAACCATTCAGAACGCAAACTGTCCCACAGAATACGAATAAACTCTGATACTCGCCGTAAACGCATCGGTCGTGTCAACAATTTCCGAATTCAACCATGTGCACCGACTGTAAGTTTGTATACTGTCTTATTTGTATAAACAGCTCGGGTCTGGGCTCAAGAGAACTCTGGTTGACTTGCGGATAACACCATATATCAAACGTCTTAAGCATTTGATTCTCTCTGTCCACGTGACTGCGAATCGTTTACAGCAAAGTCAAAGTGAGATGAAATGACACATAATACTTCTTGGCAACTAGAACCTACTTCTCTGGTAGGCCTTGCAGGCTAACCGCGTTCTGGAGACAAAAAGACTTTCAGAATGAATTCCGTGCTGACTTCAGCTGACTCGTCGTCGACGTCCTAATTGTCTATTAGACAGTGAAGGCGTATTGCATGATTTCATGCCGGAAGCAATCTTTTCCCACACCGGTTGCCTCCCTTTGCTGACTTACGATAGTTCTAAATCACCGAAAGTAGACTACTTGCACGTCGATAGTTGTTGAGTACGCTCAGTCGTCTCTGCTGACTCCGATCTAATGTTATTATGTGCAGTAAAATAAATATATCACTTTCTTATTGACTGCTGCTCCCCCTAATCCGTCGCTGACAGTCAAATTCGCAAAATTTTGCTCTGCAAGCTAGTTAGCGGGAATTCCAAGAAGTTGTCCGTCTGAATTAATCCGTCTCGTTCGAGCTGCTTGTCCTATCTTCAAGACTCGAATCTGCCTCCTCCCTTACAAAATCACCATCCTAAAGAACGCTATGTAGACCCTCAGAGAAGTCATTCATCGACTTTGTGACTTCAATATTTCACAGCGTAGTTCAAGATAATATCTACAACGGTTGGTCTACTTTCGAGTCTAGGATTGAGGCTAGTTCACACCGAGGAGCAACAGGATTGCGAGGTGAACATGTGCTTTCTAACAGGCCTAACCTTGTTTCGAGATCTGACGAAATATAAATTTTATTCCGACAGAGTACCCCCGAAAGACAGCTGTCTACAAGAATCTTCCGAGTTGCTTTCTAGTTCACTGGTGCGACCATGACATTATATAGTTAGAGCCTATTTTATGAGCAAACGGAGTACAAGGTTAGTGTCACATCAAAATATCTCTTGCTCTGTTCGAATGAATGCCGAAGGATATCAAATTGCATGATACCCTTTCGGAATAGGAATCTTAAAAAAATACATCAAACGCGGTCTGGCTTTATAGGGCTGTTTCCTTACAGCACATTCTGCTTGAAGCACTGCAGTTTAGATCCTTTGCAATATATTCTTCGGTTTGCAAGCAAGGAGCGTAGCAAACGAATGCTCTTACGCACGATGAACAAGTATGACGAGCCGATTGAATAAAGTCTTCATCACAATAAAGTCTCGCTTCATCACATGATGGAAGTCAAATATCGCATCAAGTCTATAAGTTTAGGTAGGGTGCAAGCTTGCCAATGACGTTTATTCTCAGTCCACAATGCAAGCTCTGCAGCCACCAAGACTGCCACCCATACCACAAACAAATGCATTTGTACAACGAGGACATCCACCGTCGTCCGCGAGAAGCTCATTACTTAAGACCGTCCCGGCGGAATAGAGCAACTTTCGTACCTTCCGTGGTACAGAGAGAAGATGACATTCGGACGCTTCAAGGGATTCTCGTTTAAGTTCAGGAGCTGTGCGACAATTGGGTGAAACAACGAGCTGTCCCGAAGAGACTTGTTTGTTTGCAATGTGTGCAGCAGAGGAAGACTCCTATCAAGTGTCTTCATCGGAGCACGATCTAGAGATTTCGTATACAATCTACAAACCTGACTCTATGTTGTTTTCTATTCAGAGATTGGTTGGGACAAAGTGTTGGGCAATTCATGAACGTGTTTATCATAATACAAGGAGATTACTCAGCAATAGTTGGTCCACTCCTGTGCGAACCTGGCTAATTTACAATTCACAGCTTCTGTAATGCTGCTTAATGTGCCAACTAGGGGCTGTACGAGGACTTCTTCCACTTCCCAGTCCAAAAGGCAAATTTAACGAACCGAAGGCTCCATGACCGCAAAGTTGAAAATTCTCATGCAAGATAATTCTGCTCTGTAGTCTGGTATATTCAAGTCTGACCCGGAGCATCGACCGGTGGTGGTGGACCGACCAAAACTAGCCCACAGACTCAGAAGGAGCACACAGAAACTCCGCCTGGCCTGTTCGTTGGCACATTGACATGTACAAGATGAGACAGAACTATCGTCAGGATGTCGTTTACGTTCAAAGGAGAGCCAGGGGCGCTGCGATCATGTCCGCAATACTCCCAGCCTCCGGGAAACTGTGCATCAGCCTGGCGCATGGATACTGCTCGTGCTTGCAGACCTACACAGGATCGGCTGCGGGTACCAGGCTTTGACAGGTCGCAAGTCGCGACTGCTGTCTGACTTCGGTTCTCGCCGTCGCACAGTCGGACCTGACGGCAAATCAAGGGGCCCCACTCCCGACTTGCAACGTGGCTGCCTCCCGACCTCGTGGCGGCAACCTGGCACTCGTTTCCACTACGTAGTCGCTTCGGTTCCTGCTGGCTGTGCCGACGAGGAACAGGATGTCCGACATAACCGGTGTGTCGAAATGGCGATCTCTGATTCCCGGGGAGTCCCCGTGACCGTTTTGCGAGAGGCGCTCGACGCGTCTTGAGGAATCGTTCAAATTCGTCGACGGAAGTAGGACGCTCCTTTCCGGGATCCGGAGCGCCGAAATTCCGCCGATTTTCCCGCTGGGAGTTGCGACGAGGCAATTTGCGGTCGAAAAGAGGCGAACTTGCATCCTCGTTCCAATTTGCAGTTCTTGGAACTCCATTGACGTGATTGCGTCGGCAATTTGGCTCGGGGGCAGGACAGAATTTCGGAATTCGACGTCAGTGTTTGGGTTCAGGGTTTTCGTCGAATGTTCGATTCGAGAGCAACAGACGAGAGTGAGACGGTCTTTCAGTCGCAATGGATTTAGCCTGTAGGCGGTGAGAGTTGCCGAAGAGAGAACTTTGACGACGGGAGGTGCGAGGGAGGAGACGAGCGTGGAGACGAGCGAAGGAGCTGAATTGTGACGGCTCTGAAATGGTGGAAGGTCCCGGTGTTCACCGTGTGGCCATTGCCCATAGACGGGTGCTTCTTGGGCGGGTCGGTCTTCTGTCCAAATTTGCATTCTATGGTTGATGGAAGATGTGGAGAATTACTCAAGTGTTAGTAAATTTGTGCATTATTCTTTTTAATTTGAAGCTCTTTCTGAGCTGCATATTCTTTAATCGAATTAGTGGTTGCTCTTCCGTTTACCGTTTAGCTAAAATATGACTAGGGGGTTAACTACATTTTTTGAATTTCAGGCTTTTGTCTGTACATCACCAAGCGGCAGATTTGCAGAAGGTGCAGAAAACATCAATGGAATGTATTTGTCTTTGATCGAAGCCCATGGAAAGAATATTTTTTACGTACGGTACAACCTGCAAACATTGACCAACTTTCCAATGCCGTTTGAATTCTAGAAGATGAAACTGAACTTATGGGGTTTACGAAACCGGAATCCCTATGATAATGAGCTTCATCTTATATATTTGACCACTGTGCATGTATGTAGAAGCTAGCAGTTGAAATTACTCTTGCGAGAAGGGGCAAAAATGTTTTTTATCGAGTGAATTTAAAGTGCCGAGCAAGCAAGAAAGTGTCAGCTTTTTATGTTCTTTTGCAGTTCTTCACAAATCATCGATTAGAAAATGCGGCGTTGGAAAAACTTCCAGAAGACGTCATCGTGGTCCATATTCACTTCGGAATGTCAGGGTCTTTTCGTACCTTCAAGTTTCCAGGTTCGCCCATGTACCTCATCACCAAATCATCAAGTAGTGTATATACGAAATGCCGTAGAGGAAGAACAGGAGACCAGTATAGAATCATCCTTCAAAGCCGGATCTCCAGTATTTATGGGGTAGGAAGTACTTCATTTGGCTGCAAGAAGCTCAAATCTCTTCCTCCAAGCATTTAAGTGGGTCGTGGTTTACGGAGGGCTTATTTTGCATTTGCCTGCAGGACCAGAACCGAGGGAAAAAACCCGTTTGAGACTGGAGAACGAAGCAGAAGACGTAGTGGCCCACTTGAGTTCCTCAGTGTGCGTTCATGGTGGAATGGAACTATACAGGTACTTGGATTTTATACATGTAACTGTTGGCCAAGTTCTGTATGCACTACAGCATAGATAGTAGGCTAGGCACCAGGTATGTGTCATGCTCGACAAGGTGAAAAGCATGTAAAAAATAAACAGCGTGAAAGCTTCCAACGCTGTTTATCTCTTAACAAAGTCTAGATTACTTTATATGTATCATCGTAAAAAGTGCTTTAATCTTTGACTAAAACCAACATTGCACATAGAATCCTAACAAGTGCTGAACAAATTCTGTAAATTTTGTTCAACACTTCTTAATTACAACATCCCAACAATTTTGTCAGTGATCTTAAAGAATCTGTCGTTGACAAGTTTCCAAAGCCTCCCTTGCAAATTTTGCTAGCAGAACTCTCGATTGATACCTAATTTTTTATGAAGATGCTGTGTGTAAAACCAGAAAGAGGCTTACAGAACTGGGACCCGATCCTCTGCGAGACGATGCAGACAAGGAGATAGCCTGGAACAAGATGCAAGTGAGTATTTGTTTCATGAAGTGACGATATAAATTTGTATGTGGACGTCATAACCACCTGACCTGAGTTCCTCGACCAAGCTCATGCTTTGCAATAAACTGTGCTAGCGTTGTGTGGGCTGACAGAAAACTAAGAAATCAATTGGTGCTTTTCTTATGGATCAATCCATGATTGCCGGCATTGGCAACATATACAGAGCCGGTACGTACCATACGCTATACTATAGCCGAACTGAACGCCCCATTATTTAGTTCTAAGTACAGTAGGTTCAAAATATTGCTTAGCATGATCTTGTCTTTATTCCAGATTATATATCATTTTCGTACATGGCCTCTGCATCGTACACTATAGGCTGATCAACTGCTTTTCTTGGACATTTGCAGAGATTCTTTTTGTATGTGGAGTCCACCCTAATCAGCGGTCTTCTTCTATCAGTCGCTCAACCTTCGAAGACATATGGAACCAAGTAATGCCGATGGATAGCTTGCATATATAGTCACTTATTCAAAGCCTTATCTCCCGCGATAAATAAGAGATACCCGCCATACCAACAACCATCCTTCGCCTTTCCGCTTCCCTTTTCACCTTGTGTTGTATACTTCTTAGTCTTCCCAGTCTGTCATTACAAGCACCGCTCTGCCAGCGTAGGGTCTATTGTGTTCAGGAACGTAGTAGTAAGTACAGTATTAAGCTTTTATAGTCACTCGGTTCAAGGTTGACGTGGTATTATGCTGTAGAGAGTCTATTCATCCAGATGTGCCTGATCTTTATAATCTTGATAAGTTTCTCACTGGGTAGTGTATGAGAAACATTATCATGAACAGCAGTCATGTGTCGGTTTTGCAGTACACAGTCGTCTTCTCCATATCGATCTAATACATACGTTTTGACTTGACTCCTATAATGGGGTGATACAGAGTACGAGGCTACTACATGTCGGTGTTATCGCAGGATCTATCATCACTGTGTCGCCAGAGGAAGCAGGCAAGTCCACATCTGTTGCCTCTTTCTATCCGGTTGATAATTTTACCTGGTCGCATGAATCGTCTTGAATTCACCGCAGGATTGTTTGTTTCACCTATACGAGAGTGTATCTACCGATAGTATTATCCAACTTTTGTCGCTTTATGTATGGTGAAGTGACTAGTACTTGGATGAAGTTATGGTTTCCTATTTTCAACTGTGAAATGACACCGTTTTACGACAGGGAAACCATTTTCGAAACTGAAATCTGGAGAGAGGCGCTACGTTTACAATCACAAATCTTGTAGAAGGTGTGGGGGGCCAGTAATAAATTGGACAATAGCTGCCAGGTTGGACTCCTGAAAAATAGCACCCTTCATAGCTCATCAATTAGCTTCGTCGTCACGCTTGGGCCTCTTAAAACCACTAACTTCTGTCCGTTGTCACAGAACTTGTTATGCTTGTGATGCATGTCAACCTCTCATAGATGGCGTTGAACCACGGAGAAAGACATTTGTAGACGCTGTTAGAAGCAAGGGACACGAGGAAGAGGACGACGGACCAGCTGATACTGATACATTGAACGAGAGCCCTGTAAAGCATGGAGATGAATCTGTTCCTAAACGCTTTGAGAATAAGAAGGCACCTGCGAAGAAAGCGAAGACATCTACAATAGCTTTCAGGTTCCTCCTGTTCTCAACGAAGTCTTCCTCACTATTTCTACGTGAACTGTATGGGGTGTATATTAAGACTCCTGTATTTATGACTGTGGCGTAAGAGCATCTATGCAAGATCTACTGATTTTGTTATTCCCTCTAAGTTTTGGACAATATTTTATTTTATGTACGTATATAAAATAAAATATTATCTATGTCATACACAGTTTCTTCAAGTGCTTTACCATACGTCACTTGAAGATGATTAAATCAAAAATACATTTATGCTTCCGTGTTCAAGCAGGTGGTTTGTCGATGTTATTTTTCAGAAAAGAAAGCACAATTATTTTGAGATTCCTCCATGATTTTGTCAAGCTCTTTTTAAGAAATGCGCTCTTAATTTGACATATTTGATTCGAATAATTACAGGAAGAGGAAGGTAATGGATGGAAAAATAGTGGAGCACCAAGCTTTGAAAGATATCCCTACTGGTGGTCTAGTTGACTTCCCAGGGAGCTTGGACGACTTGATCTGGCCAAGTGCTGATCCTGCATCGTTGAAAGGAAGTAAGTTGTCCAACGCAGTCCACGTCCAGAGCAAGCGCTCTAATACAACGATTGCGAATCATAATGCCGCTGTCAGTTCAAGAATTGAAGTGGATAAGAAGTTCTCGACACGACCTAGAACTCGTGCTGCTAGGAAGAAAGTAGACACGCAAGATCAGTAGATCAAGCAGAAGACTTTGACCGTTGTTCGTTGGTTAATAATGACACAATTTTGTGAGAAAGTGGATCACTTGTATCCTCAAGTGATTCGATAAGGCTCTCAAACATGAGAGCCTTATCGAATCGCTTGATACTTGCTCATAGGTTTGATGTACCAAGAAGTCTTTGGCCACTGTTATCTGCTTGTTTTTCCTCATCTTACTTATAATCGTTACTTCTGGTCGTCCTTTATGTTCCACCACAAGGAAATCGTCAGGTCAACCCCGTAAGACAGTTTCCATCCCTTTGTGGTGCTCCTGACTTTTTGACGCCCGTCTAGACAATTGTTCTCTTCCTCAAAGAGATTTTGTCCAGTAGTCCACCGATCTGTTGGAATTGCTTTGCCTCATATCGATGTTCTTCAGCACGTTGAGTTATCAGCTTTTCGTAGTATGAGAATTTTCTTACTGGCCTTTAGCTCACGGTACTCTCGCTGTCGTTATTGTCTAGGTCCTTTTATAAACAAGTCAGCTGAGGCTTTTTCTTTCATGAGACTACCACGTTCAGTTGCTGCTCAGTATGGACGAGTTAATCAGCGGAAGACAGTCGGACATGTTGCTCAGACTGCTGAGTACCTTTTACCTTCGATAACTACTGTTGGTCAAGGTACTAAGTATCGGTTACCGGTAGCCAGACCTCATTCAGCGTTAGGTTTGACTTTGTATCCAATTGGATATGTTTTTCCTTTGTGCAGGTTGTTTTCTAGAGTGTTAATGCTTTGACCTTCGTGTATCTTCTTTATTGCGAGAATGAATACATGATCTTACGACACTCATCTTACTTCTTCTCATAGTGTTTATTTTTTTTATGTCTGACCACCCTTTAAACCAACTTTCGAATGTACATTGAAGTAATAGAAGTTCTTCTGAAAACAGCGAGAGCTTCGTGATCATAAAGTATTGAGTACGAAATTCCTCCCTATGATTGTCTCTTTGCGAAGAATAAGCTCTTAATTCTTGCGAAAACCTTAGTTTGTAAATGTTGAGTCTTCAGATGATAAGTATCATCTTGTACATGCTCAATCTTCTGCCTCTGAACCATACTTACACTCCAATGAAATAGTTTCTTATAAACAGCCAGTTTTTTAACACATTAAACCACTGGACACTTTGCAAGCCTCTACTTGCAAAAGTTTTGAACTTCATAAATTTTGCGACCTCACTTCACGCTTGCTGAAAGGTAGTACGTGAAGTGCCACGTACTACCTTTCAGCAAGCGTGAAGTGAGGTGCGTTCACAGTGAACAGCGCTCGACACTGTGAACGCACTTCACAGAGTCGAGCATCACCGAAAGTATTTAGTATAGCTTATTTAAACCGACATGGTCATCATTATGTACGCGTTAGTCTGCCTACATAGTGTGATGGAGGAGGCAGATTGCATCCTGATGTAAATTTGCATCTGTCTTGTCATATCTATGCGGGATTGCTAGACATCAAGACATGCAGACGATGGAAGAAAAATGGAGCGAAGTTGCAGCAAGGCCAAAGAAAAACCTTGTTTGTGAACATACGTTAGACGTATGCTAATTATTAACCTCCAGCGCATAAGTATTTAATTTATCCTATGGAAGAGGTTTAAAGATAAAGGTTCAAATATCATCTGATCTGATTCTTGTCATCTTGATCAAGATATCATAGCTATGTTGTCTTCAAAAGGATCAAAGTTTGCATCTTCTCGAAGACTGCGTAGCGCACCATTTCCAAACACTTTTGCGAGACTCTAGTTAGCTGAAAGCCAAAACTATCGTTCTCTGCTGTTGTTAGCACTGCAGTAAGCCCGTAGATCACAACTCAGGAACTGCTATTCTATGGATAGCGAGTTGATAATAGGATCGAGACGGACATGTCAACAGAATTCTTGTTTCGGTTGCAAGGAAGACCTGTCAAGCTTGCAATTGTAGTGATCGATCTACAAGCATCCTGATAATCATGGGTTTGGAGGATCGTCATCATTAGGATACGACATACTAGTGAGCAACATGAGAGAGTGGCGACCCAAGTCTTTGTGGAAGAGTAGGTAATGTACCAGGTTCGTAAGGAGTGGATAATATACTAAGGGTACAAGGCTAATTACCAGTAGATAATGAACCCAAAGTAATGGCAGAGTCGCTCGTACATTTCAAATTTCGTTTGTATAATAAGAAAAGTCTCTCTTTACATCGTTGTATGGGCAATTGAGTACATCAAAGATTTAAGAATGAAAACTAGAGGAGGTTTTTTTGTTTTGTTTTGTCATTTTATGTCCATTCATAGCTTCATAACTTCATACTGATGATTTGCAGTGGAATATATATATAAACTGTGAAAATTGTGTTCAAGCGGTTGATATTGTGCTTTGTTTTTCCTTAAAGAATACAGTCATATGATTTATCGGCATTGTGAAATTTAATTGCACAATGTTAGTCTTACCGCTGTCTTGTACAATCTTTTCCACTTCAAGTAAGATCTTTATCTAAATTAGAGTCGATATATCCAAAGATTAAGAGCATCGTCAGGCATGAGAGCATTCCTCGATATTTATCAAGATTATATAATATTGAATTAACATATAATTAATAATAATATATTAATTTGAATATGATGTTGAACAGTATATCAATCGCATACCCGGTTGAACTTCATTTCTTATGTATACTTGACTTTACGTCACTTTATTTGTTCTGGTAAAATGGTTTTTCACATGATGTATAAAAACAACAAACAATCAAAATAAACAACAATCTTGATCTCTAAATATTTATCAAGTTGTAAATTTGTTTTCATACAAAGATTTTCAGTAATCATCATGTACATAGTCAATCAATTATTTGACATTATAAAAAATTACACTAAACACAAGATAAGATCTAGTTTGACTTTGAAACATCTAAAATTTTACTTCAAGATCATCAAAGTGTTATTTATTTTGAATATAATGTTAATCTATCAGTTATTTTATACCAAAACTAATTTCAAACTCATTGCAAACCTTTAAAATTTGACATTTTCACCAGCTTATGATATAAAATGTTGAACATCAAACTTTTCTCTAAGTCATTTGTTGCATAAAGATTTCAAAAAGTTTAAATGATGAATCAAAGTAGTATTTACATGCTTGTGATTTTTCAATTCAAATCTTTCAGGTAAGTTTTGAATAAATATAACTCAAATTCATAATTTTTTTAATATTTTACTTGTTTTTAAAAAATCTAATACTAAGAATTTTTATAGTGCATCAAGATTATTGTAAAAAAAAAATATATATATATTAATTTAAACTTGTGATCATCAAAAGTTTTTAAGCTGCAGTAAACATATTTTCCACATAAAATTATTAACCTACATCACTGGAGACAGGGAACTAAAAGACATCTCGTGGCGACACGGCCTATCGGTGAGATCTCAGCGTGGTCACACGTCCTCGGAAGTCAGAGGATCCATATGACCTGCCTACTATTCACAAAAGTTAAATTCGTCTTTTAACATAACTCCAAGGATCCCAAATACTTAGTGTAGTTTTTGAAATGTAAACAATTCATCAAATTGTTTGTTTCATTGTCTACTCCTTGCTTTTATCCATACAAAAATTTTAAAAACTTGTAAAATATATTTTCTTGATTGCTTTACAATCTTTTAGATTGAGTTTGATCTAAAGTATTTATGAAAATTTAATATCAATTTTTATATCCAAAAAATATTTCAAAAAATAAAATTACACACATGAGATTTTAACATATCTAGCTATTAGAAAATGTCTCTTATTGTATTCAACAAGTTTTTTGTAGACATTATGGAAATTCTTTATTGAAATTACTTTGTAAATTCACTAAATGTTCATCAAATGTTAAATTTTTGAAACTTTCAATCAATGATTCAATTCACCTTTACATTACTGCATTTATTTCAAATTTATGTAATAAAACATAAGTCTCATTGTATGAAAAAGCTTAAACCTCTTATAAGATCATTATCAAATCATTGTTATTAAAAATATGTTTGTTAACTTAAAAATTTGATTAAATCTATTCATATTTTAATTTAATAAAAAATGTTCAAATGAAATTCTTGAACTTATCTGAACCTTGAAATTTTCTGCTTGAATTTAATGTGTTTGAATGTGTATAATTTGTATTCATGTTTTTAAACTTTTTTGTATTAAAATTTAGTCTAAAAACACAATAATCTAGTTTTTCTATGAAATAATAATAAGAAAATAATCTTCAACAATATATGAAATAATAAAAATTTATTTGAAAATGATAATTTTTCAATAAATATTTGATGATCTAGATTCATTGAACAAAAAAATTCTTACAAACAATCAATACATAAAAGATTGAATTTATGATTTTTATAATTTCACTTTTTTAAAAGTCAAATATAATTTTTTCTACAAAATGAAAATTTTAGTTTCAATATATTATTCTTATGAATGAATAAATATGCGTTACATAAAATACATGAACAAACAATCAATCAATTGTTCATACTTTAATCCAAAAAATATTGTATATATATATATATATATATATATATATATATTGTGTTCATCATTTTTGGTCCAAACTTGTGTGCTAAACATGATTGGTTCAACAAATTTTTGTTAGCCAATCATCTTTGATCACTAAATTTAATAATTTATTTATTTAAACCATTTTTTTAATTACTTTAATTTAATTTTTATTATGTTTTAGAGTGAAATAAAAGATTTGCATTTTAATTGCTGATTGTTCGCAGAATTTTTATGTTTGTGTCGATCTAAATTTAAAATTTAATTTTTTTTCAATTTTGAAAATGACAAAAATCAAACTTTATAAAAAATATGTATGTAAAAAATAAAACATTTTAATTTTTTATTTCAATATTTTAATCATTTTTTATTTTAATAATCATCAATGAATAGTATATAATATGAGCATTCAAAATGTTATACTTTATGACGTTATTATTTGACTATCTCTTTCTAACTTTGATATTCAACACTAGAACTACAAGTTTGAAATATGTTAATTTTCCAAACTATGTTAATTTTATCAAATATAAAATATTTTTTTTATTTTTTTATGATATTAATAATTTTCAATTATATTGTAAATTTGAAAATAAATTATTTGTGATTAATAATTACATGATTTTCACATATCAAAAAATTTCAAATTTTTAATATATTATACTAAATATTTAATTTTTGCTAGTGTGCAGAAAAAAAACATTACATATATAAATCTTCACAAATACAATATTTAGAATTTGACAATGATGATTATTTCGCATAAACCATCCACTATCAAGTAAAAGTTCAAAAAAAAAATTAAATATATATAATAACAAAATGCAGAATCAAAAGTAAATTTAAACCTTTTACACTGAGATAAAGTGCAAATTTCATATCATTGAGATCAAGCAATGTATACATTAACTCAAATTTTAATTTGGATAGTTTAACCTTGCTCAGCATTTAAATTATGTTGTCATTAAATTAAAGCTAGTCAAAACTCTAGAAAAAAAAATATTATTTTTCATCAAGAGAAATTTTCTGAGTTTATGTGGACATAATCCATAATAGCAAATCACGTATTTATGTGTTGACATTTCTATGTAGAATTGTGAATTATCATTTTTTGTTTGTGCAATGTTTATACATTGATATCAAAGCAATATACTTGCTTAGCTCTCTAGCTTCATGGGCGTGAAACATTATGTGCATACATCTTTTGATTTGAAGATGGATTGTGAAAACAAGGAGAGTGCAAAAAAGAATAAAAAAAAAAGAAGTAAGGGAATAAGCACATGTAATCAAGTATTTTTCATCCATCATCATGAACATCTAGCTAGTTAATTGGTTTTAGTGAATTCAACTGCGTATGGAAAAAAGTAAGTAAGTATTAATCATGAATGTGCATAGTACTTTAACCTATAGAAGTAACAAAAGAAAGTT